GAAATAGAAAAATCTTTTATAATTTTCTCTAGTACACCTATATATAAATGATAAGTTTGATAAAATATTTTCATTTTATTTTTATGAATACCTGCAATAATAAATCGATCCATAAAATTTAACAAATTAATAAATAATAGGACAGCCATTGTAATAACATTTTTGTATTTTTCTCTTCGAGATAATATACCTGATAGACTTAACTAAAAATTAATAAAAAATTAAAATATTAAAATTAAAATTTAATTAAAATTCAACATACACTAGGCTCAAGATCAGGTTCAATTACTGGTAATAAATCAGAAACATCAACAGACATATTCAACAAAATCTAGTGATAAGAATACTAAATTTATCTAAGTCACTTATGACATTCTATTTTTGACTTACGTAGTCAACAAGATACTCATTCGTCGTCTTTTTATTTATCTATTCATAAATGCTTTTTAATATATCACAAATCAACAACAGGAATAGATAGACCTTTTTAAAAGTGTCAACTAGTGGCATCTTGATTTATAAATGAAAACCACTTTCCTTTTAACATTTACTTGATAGTTCTCTCATCATCAGACATGTTTAAGTAGATCATTGATTTATGTGTTATTTTTTTGACATAGTTCTATACAAATACGAAACATTGGAAATTATACAATGAAAAGAACATTATTCAATAAAATTCAAACATTACCGAATGATCTCGTGATGAAATATTCATATCAATGGGAATAATCATAATTATTTTAAAAAGTTTTTTATCAATCTGATACAATCAGATATGTTAAATTCTCATTTTACATTTCATAAACAATATTTTTGTGATTAAATTATCAAAGAATTTTTTTTATAAAAGTAAAGAATCCACAGAATGTGATTAAGATCTACTCATTTAGTGGCAATCAAGATTTAACATAAGTCCAATATGACAATGTTTCGATTAATTATTCTGCTATTTGCAATAATATATGATCAGAGACAAAATACTATTCTATTCTATTGAGCTTTCTAACGAGGAAATCGTTTTTTAAATACGAACTTTGTGCATATAAGATAAATTCCAGTAAGATATGAAAAACTCCAAAACGGTCAATGTCTCTAAGTCTTACCTCCTTAGTTATAACCATTTAAGCCTATAAGACGGTAAACACCAAACAATCGAATGATAATAATTCAAACTAAAATTTTGCCTATAGAGAGACCTTGTGAGAGTATATTTTTATAACATATACTCCGATCCTCTCTATTTTCTTTTCTTTGATCATACTTTGTTCGTCTGATATTTTCGATATCATTATTTCGTTTCTATTACTTCTTTTCTTTAACCTTGATTAGACGTTGTGTTTTTTTCTACTTTTTTGTCCTTGTTGTCATAGTCGCATATAAACACTCATTTTTCAAAAAAATAAAAACAGAGAGAGAAGAAAACACACACGTCTTTAATCGTGTTCGTCGCTCCTTGTGAGCGTGAAGGCTAACAGACTTACTAGTAAATAATTAGAATGTTTTGAAATTTAGAGCTCAAAATAATGTTTCCTCTACGAGATATTGAATTACCCAGAATTATTTATATTTTATGAAAGATAACAGAATCTTATGTTTTTTTTTGAAATTCAATATTTCGTGAACGAAACATTCTTTTAACTTGAAAATTCCAGAACATTCTATTTACAAGTAGACCTATCTTGTTGTTTTCGAAGTCATTGTGAAACACGCTTCAGGTAGCCAATATTGTAGCGCTTTACCGAAGCTATCCAATACTACGCCGAAGTGAAGGAATAGATTTTGTCGGATGTAGAAGATCGAAATGCCATCATTCGATATCTTGGTTGTATACAGTCTGGTAGGCTCATATGGCTATAACTTTGGAGAAAAGATCTAAGGAGACTTATCCTTTTTGAATTTACTTTATGCATATAGGGTCCGAACAAAAAAAAATGATTTATCACTTGGAACGATATCTTCGTAAAGTCAATTGAAAAGAATTGCAACAATGAGGTTTTGATGAAACATAGAATATTATGAAGATAATTAAATTTAAATAAGCATATAAAATTAAAAGTCTATTGATATCAATAGTATATGTTTGTAGTTGAGTTGAGATGTGTGCAAATATTTCGAAGTAATAGAAAACTTGCTAGTACATCGACATCATCATGGATATAATAGGCAAGCTTAACAAAGTGATGAGAAACTAGTTAATTTTATCAGATTTTTATGCCTTCTCAGTCAGTTAAATTTTTGTTGATTATATATTACAACAGTTTCTTATAAATATGCATTATTTTGTTTATACATAGAATTGAATATAGGTAATAATAATGACTAAAGATTATTGTTAGTTTTTTTTTCTGAGTGCAATGTGGAACACAAGTGGAAACAGACCATCTAGTCTTTTTGCTTGACACAAACACAGATTCTGATTATTCAAATCTGTCATAAACGAGACAGATCGGCTGCCTGAAATGTTTTTTTAAATTTTCAAGAAAATTTTATCATTTTGACTAGTAAAGTTACAAGTAGGACGAAAATTATACTTATTTAAACCTCTAATATGAAGCATTCACCTAGTTACACATTCATTATCAATAGTATTTTTCATTTTCATTGAACTTTCATCAATACTCAATACAGCTCGACTTTATTGTTTTATATTCTATTACAAAAAAAAAAAAAGGAAAAGAAAAAATAACTAAAGAGCACTATGGAGTCAATTTGTCAATGACTATAGTATCATTCTTATTTTAAATGATATTTGAGATACGATTATTTAGCATAAAATCAGTATCAACAATCAACAGGATTTTACCTAGTGTGGAGGCTTACGACAGCATCCACTCGTACAGAATCTACCGGTGTATGCTAACATGTGTTGAGAAAAATGTGTTGAATTTGAAGAAATTTTTAAAAATTATTGGCTGTTGGAAAAATTTTCCATTTGAACATTCGAACAAAGAACTATTTCTCTTGTAGCAATAAGACTATTAGCTTTGTGCATAGTTTCTTCTCGTATTTCACTGTGCAATCCATTACTCTGTGGCAAGGAAACTGCTTCTGTTAATTGCTAATTAATAAAGATTAGTTTTTTATATGACCTTTTTGTATGTTAAAACGATTTCTCTTTCGGTTTCTTCGAAAAATGTTCGAATGAAAAAGACAATTCGTCTTTTACTTTATTTTGATAGTAGAGAAAATGTTTTCAAGAATTCACGTCCGTTTTGGAAAACTTTTCGTTCTAGTAGCAGATATCGCATTGTTGACGGCGTTCTTTCAAAGATTAGATTGACTATCCTGGAGTTTGTCATTATTGCACTTCATATTCTATTCCCTGGACTGTAAGGATGGAATCGAGAAACGAAAATTCACCTGTGTCTGTCTATAACATAGTTATCGTATGGTAGCTATGGCACCAATGACTATGTAGAATGATAAACAAGGGCACCTACGCATTAGAATTCAAATAAAACGATGAGTAGTTTCCCGAGGCGAAGAATGCGAAATCTATATACACTCGGTATTTCATCATATACGACCGTATTTTGGTGTATTACATAGTTCAGTATTACGATCATATACGAAGACAGTAAATAACTCTTACATTTTATTCAGTATGTCGCCGTAGACAGTCATATATCTTCCTATCACATACGAAGAAATACGATCGTAATACTCAGGCATGTAATACATCTTTATACGATGATTAATGGTCGATTATGAGCATGCTTATTCAATCTTGTACACTTTTAGAAGGGACGAGCATTGTTCTTAAATGATTGAACAGTTCGATCAATTGTTCAATGCTGTATACATGACGATGTGATATAATGATTATTAAGAGTGAAAGAATGAATCTGTACATAAGATTATGATTAACTAACATCACTTTTTATTTAATTTTTTTTTGCAATAGAAATAGCGTTAATGTAACTAATTGTGAGTTGACTTTAAAATATTGAAGAATCAACTAGTTACTTTTTAGAGACGACTGAATTTTAAAGTTAACTTCGACAAATATATAATACACGCTTCATATCAAACATGAAGAATACTGTTTATGACCACATATCATTCATAGAAATACACTAATTCGATATATATATATCAATATATGACAAAAGAAATTATCATTCACTGTACTCAATTATGATTTGAAAATTAGTATTAAAGAACAAAAAACGCAAGAAATTACAACATTGCAACCACACAGAAAAAATTGACAGAATTTCTATCAAAAAACTAATAACATTGCACATATAAACTGAACTTCGTTACACTAATATAGTATATTCGAAATTGTTTTTCTTTATAAACATAAAAATCAAGTTTTATATTACGAAAAATTTTTTTTTCGCCAAAAGAATTGCTTTTATATTTCAAGTCATCTCATTTATGTATTCAGTACTTAACGTACGCCTATATTTCAATGCATTCATATGCATATCTCTATTCTGTTAATCTAGGGTCAAGTGAATCGAATCTCAATGAATATTAATTATATGTCTATGCTCTCAAAAATAGTTGTTTATTCTCTCTCTCTCTCTCTCAAAGCATTAAATCAGTATAAAATACTGATAAACAGACAAAATTATAATAACCTTAAAAGCTATTAAAAAAATATTATATTTCTTCTACATTCCAAACGTATTACAGTTCTGCATGAAAGTAAATTATACAATTATTTATTTATTCTATAGCACAAATGAATAATATGCGTAGACAAGGCTAATATAACAAGGCACTTGTTTAGCAAAATCAAAATCAAGAGCTAATAAGATAAAAAAAAAAAAAGAAAAGAAACAATGATTATATAAACACACAAATATTATATAAAATTAAAGTAAGACAACGGACAAATACATCTGACAAAATGAATATCTAAATTATTCGTTGAGAATATTTCCATTCACAAGATCATGATTAAATATAAAGATTCATTAAAAAAAAACCAATTAAAAGAGACAATATTCTACCCAATATATAATTATACAAACGACAAATTTTTATTATTGATTTAATTTTGATATTTCAAGTTCTTCTCGTATTGCTTCTTCATAATCATGTAATTTTCGACCATCTCTTATATGAGCATAATTAGCCGCAAGACAACAAAGAAAATGAATCTGAAAGCAAATAATTAAGAATTGATTTCTATGAAACAAGAAAAAAACATCTTACCAAACCCATAACAACAAAAAATGAACCAACTAAACCTGCCCAAAATTTCAATGTATGAGTCGTCTAGATTTAAATGAAAAAAAAAAAGAAAAGAACAAATTATCTATAAAATATCTTGTCTATTATTTCATACCAATGCACATAATTCATTAAATTTGTGTTGACAAACTTTTACATCAGGTTTATGTTTAGGTACAGGAATTCCATAAGTTCCTGGTGTTAAACAAGCTACTGGTGATGCTGTATTTGGCCAGCCAGATACTGTTTGTACTACCCAAGTTTCAGTACAACGATGTCCTAATATATATAAACCAATACATGGTATCATCATACTTATCATTATAATTAACCAAATAAGTAACATAATATAGACAACAAATGTAAACTAAGAAAAAAAAATGATTATATAAATATTAGTATTTTTTTTTTATGTTTTAAGAATTACAAATCCTGTTGCAATGCGACCGCCAAGTCGAGAACGAAATCCAGTATAAACTTGATGACGTGTAGCACCTGTAGCTAATGATCCAACAATAAGTAATATAAATGAAAAACTTCCCATTATTGCAAGAATAAAAATAACTGTCAAACGTAATATACGAATCCTTTAGAAAAACATTTTAAAAAAAATCGTTCTAAATTTTAATTAAATTTTTTGAATTCATACCATTCAAGATCAACATATTCAGTTTCAAAAGCATTATTTATTTGTTCAATAGATGTTCGAATTGGATAATACAGACAACCACAAAAAATACTTGTACCAACTATTGTTATAATAAATGCAAGTAATGATGCAAATGGACAATTTCCACAACAACGAAGAAAATCTATATGAATTATAATATAATAAATATTCTAATATGAAATCATTTTAAACGAACTATTTTGTCTATATTTCATATCCGACATTGTTCGATCAGACCAAAGTTCTCGACTACGATCAGCAAAACGATCAATATCACCTTAAACAAAAATAATAAGAATTATTTTCAAAAACAAAAAAAAAATCGTTTTTCAATGACATACGATCATGAATAACCATATCGATAAGGTGTAAATGTTTACGATTGACACAATCCGAACGAACAAATTGTTAGCAGAGACAGATTGACCGAATAAATAAACAAGCAAATAAAATATTTCATTGATCAAATTTTTTGACCAATAAAATCTTTTGAAACTTATAATCATACAGAAAACAAAAGCATACGTGAAGCAAAAAAAAACACATATTTAGAATTTTTCATTCAATTTTGAAAAAACAAAACAAAACAATGAATAATGATGATATTGTTTCGGATATTATTTCATTAATACATTCAACAACAAAATCAAATTATATTATTTGTTCACAACTTTCATCAAAAATATTTTCTTATTTATCACAAATTAATTTACAAGATAATCAATGGAATGAATTAAATAAAGCTGTTGAAGTAAAATTTTTTTCTATGAAATAAAATACAACAAAAAAACAAAAAAAAATTGAAAATTTTTCTTTATTATTTTAGCGTTTTGAGCAAAATATTGATCATCCTGATCTTCATCAATTTCAACAATTAATTGAAACAATAAGTATTTGTTCAAATGATTATGAAGAACGAAATTATACATTAGGACGTGATAGAAATATACTTAATGATTCGATTAATCAATTACGAGATTTATTAGTAAGAATAAAACAAAAATTATTTTCAATAGAGTATTCCCTAGGCAATATTTTATTCAGATTTTTCTCTTCTGACGAGACGATTTAAAACTCCGGGAGGAGCACTGCCCCTTCCCTTTCCTCACGCTGAATAAAACACTGTCCTATGGGCAAAATAAATAACACACCTAATTGGTTTCTATTTATTCTTCATATTATTATCGTTTGATTCTACATTTATATTGCAAATAACCTAAAGTGTCAAAGTCTTGATACAAAAAAATATTCGCTCATTTTTCCACTACTAAAAGACAACTGGTGAGAATTAGAATTTTTCGCTATTTTTGAATATATGTTCAAATTTTTCTTCTCGAGTAAGATTGAACAACTATCAGTAAATTTTGTGGAAAAAGTTCAAAACTATCTCTTGAAATAGCTTCAACTCAACATTACTGAACTCTGTATAAAATGAGATATTACAATAAGCGAAATCTCATCTATACGTTTCCACTAAAGGGCTAGTTTCTATCAAAATTGATGAAAGAAAAAATCTCTGTTTCAAATGCTGCTGCAAATAGCACGCTTTGTAGAGCAAACAAAAGTGAGCCATTAAAAACTTTTCGTAGCTTTTTGAATTTGATAGGTTTTAAGTGGAATATAATTATGATTCAAAAAACTGATTTTTATTCTTTTATCCTTAAAATAATTATTGTTGACAGCGGGAATTACAGCCCGATTGAAAGTGTAAATTTTGTCCTCTAACTTATTCTACAGTCTATTGTACAGTAGAAGAACTGAGATAAAAATTTTTTCATCTGCAACTAATTGCTAAAGAGCTTTCAATTATTGTATAAATATTCAATTAAAACTAATAATAAGTAAAGAGACAACAACCAATGGCGTAACCAAAAAAAGATTGCAAGGAGGGAGGCTCAAGCCTCCATTAACAGTGACAATAACAAATTTTCAGTTGTTTCAACACATCATTGCGGTTTAAAGCTGAAAACCATTGAATAGATTGAGTGATCATCAAAGCTACATCTGCAATATCAATATAAAACTAAACGATGATAGTATGAAGAATAAATAGAAAAAAATTAGACGTGTCGTTTGTTTTAGCCAAAATAATATATACTTTGATTTTTTTTCCTTTAGAAATCTCATATTGATCTTCATTGTTTTTTACTTGCTAAATTAATTCAACAACAAAATATTCGAGTATATTTGATTGATCTTATGAATTTAACTGGAATGGTTTGTATTATTGAGTCAACAAGAAAAAAGAAAATAAAAATAAAAATTTCTTCTCTTGATTAGAATGTTGGAAATCAAATTCATGGTATTCTATGTGATATTGTTCGATTTCTATGTCAAATTGATCCAACATTTGCTACTTCAAATGTAATCGATCATCCAATTCTATTAAATTGTATTCAAATTATTCAAACAAATACTAACAATATTTATTCAAAAGGTGGTTAAAAACATACTTGTGTATGTAGATGTTATTTTAAAAATTAAACTTTTACAAATTAAAAGCTTCCTTTGCGAAGCAAATTTTTCGAAGGACTATCAAACTTGATTTTTTATTATAGGAAGACGCTTCAATCACTCTTCATTTAAAACTTATATTTCGTTATATAAAAATAGTCAGATTTTCAGCAGACTTAAAAGCTTACAAGGAAGCTTTGGATTAAATCGTAACTAATATTGCTTGCAATGCGTTTCATTGGGAATCTCTTTTAAGAAATGATTTTTACATATTTTTCTCGTTTTACTTAAGCTATAGTTTTTAGTGAATGAAATCGACATTTCAACTAAGCAGGAAACATTCCCAGGTGCAGGAGCGCTTTTGAGTCGGGACTTTGTGCATCTTATAGTCCTTAGTGAGCTGTGCCTATGATAAAAAAAAGTTTGAGTTTCTGGCGAGATATTGAGTTTTTAGTGATTTTTTCTATATCACCTCACTTTTGCAGCAATGCTATATCTTTGAATTTTGACCTGAAACTTTGTCCACATAAAGGTCTCAACTAGACGAGCTTGCATAAAAAATTTTAGAAGTTTTGAACAAAGTCTCTCTGGAATATGAAACGATCAAGGCACAGACACTTTTCATAGATAGTAAATATAGTATACATTTTTTCAAATCTTCGTGTCCCGGAGAGACTTTGTTCAAAACTTCTAAAATTTTTTATGCAAGCTAGTCTAGCTGAGACCTTTATGTGGACAAAGTTTCAGGTCAAAATTCAAAGATATAGCATTGCTGCAAAAGTGAGGTGATATAGAAAAAATCACTAAAAACTCAATATCTCGCCAGAAACAAGCCAGAAACTCAAACATTTTCGTATCATAGACACAGCTCACTAAGGTCTATAAGATGCACAAAGTCCTGACTCAAAAGCGCTCCTGCGCCTGGGAATGTTCTCTTGTAAGAGGAAATTTTTGTCTGATCAATTCTCTTTTTTACATTGATTCCTGTGTTGAGAAAAATGACATTTGGTATCCTAGAGTCAGCCTGTTAATGTTTATTTTAACCTTCGAGTCTATTAAACTGCTTATAAAAAATGAACGAAAGCGAATTTTAGACGAAAATCACATCGAGCTCTTTGCCTGTCTTAATGACAAAGCCTTGGAAATTCTCTTGCAGATCACATATGGACTATAAAAAGGCTAGTACTCCTACCTAGTTCTACATATTGGATTGAAAATTTTTTTATCAAAGGAGTTTCTTACTAGGGTCATTCATCTCTTAAAATTTCAAGTTAAACGGATCTTACTAAGCAATGATTAGCTGCTTAAGGTTGCTGAGACACTGTATGTTTACAATATTTTTCAAATTAACATCTTGTAAAAATTTTAGATCTTTTAATTTGCTCCTCTACTGAAATAAGAACATCAAATCTATTAGTGTATATGAGTGATGTAAAAAAAATACGCTTTTACCATAGCTGTGTTTCGAATAGGAACAACAAAATTATCTGAAGTTTTTATAATAAACTATTCTCATTAAGATCTGTTTGTATGCAAAGTTTTAAGACGAAATTCGAAAATTAGTTTTTCGGATATTTCTGAAGAGGGATTTTGACTTTAATTTAAAAAATATTGTAAAAGTGCTGTATCTCGATAGCCATAAGCTAACAGCATGAATCTTTTTCAGAGTATTGATAACTCATTAGGCTCTATGTGATATACATTATCCTGATTCAAACATGATTAATCACTTGGAGGACTTTTCTCGTCATTGAAAAATCTATTGTAAGAAGAAGGGACCTGTTAACTTTCATAGCTTATATTTGAGCTGAAAGTATTAGCTAATTATTCAATTTTACTGTTGAGCTTGGATAGTCACACCTTTACGAATACAAAATATTGCAGATAATCTTCATTGAATACAAAAACATATTTCTTTCTGAACAAGTTTTTATATACCATATGAAAGAAAAAAAACACGCCAAATTTAATCGAATCGATTTATAACATATAACATTTTAGGTGATAATACTAAATCAACGGTAATATCTGCTCTGAATCTTCTGACGAATCTTCTTTTAACAAACGAACCATTTCCAGTGAATACTAACAGTACGTAATTTCTTTTTTGGTTTTATTAATCTTATGTTTTATTTAGGTCAATTATCTAATTCTATATTTTTAAAATGTATATTTCAATTGATTGAAAATAATCATGATGATGATGATGATAATGATGATGAATTAGTTTTGTCATCAATAAAATTTTTATTATCATTAAATTTACGTTTTGATTATCCAAATCAAAATCCTATTATACGTACATTAATAGCTATAATTGAACAAATATCATGTCAATATTTAATTGAACGACTGATTTTATTATTCAATCGAAATAGTAAGAAAATAGAATAAATAAATAAATCTTGTTCTAAAATGTTTTTTTTCCTCTCTCTCAAGTTGATCCAATTGAACATAAAACAACAAATTCAGTGATAAAATTTCTCGCTGATTTATTTGATGATCAAAATACGACAAGTGATATACTTTTATTTGATTCTGATCGACGTTTAATTATTGAAATTATAAGTAGAGAATTAACCGATCGTTTATGTACTGATGAAGCTACAACAGCATATCTTTCATTATTAGAATTAATTCTTCGTAAACACACACTCACACATGAAAATTGTTCACGTTATGATGAACTTCAAGCATGTTTTCAATCATATCTTTCTACAGAAAATTGTTTGCATGAAAATCGTTTTATTATAAATGAAATCATTCGACAACATGATTGGTTATCAATGATTTGATATATTTGAGTTTTTATTTTTATATTTTAAAGACTTCTTTTGTTTCTCTCTTTTGCTTTTTGGTATTTAAATCATAAAATATATTTTAGATAAACTTTTAATCAATGCCGGAATTACCGACGGATGAAAAACCGAAATCATCGGAACAAATTGATTTAGATGAAGCTGAAAATGCATTATTAGGAAAAGATTATCAAACTGCAAGAGAATTATTAGAAAAATTGGGTAAAATTTTTAAGATTTAAGATAGATGAAATATCCAATTTTTTTGTTTTGTTTAATAGTTAAATTAGAAGCAAAAGTTGATGATGAAGAATCACTACGAATTAAAGAATCAGCTATTCTTTCACTTGGAAAAGTTTTTAAGGAAACAAAAGATGCTAAAGGTAATGAAAATATTCTTTTATTTTAATAATTTATTGATAAAATTATTTAAAAGGTTTGGCATCATTGATTAAAACAACTCGTCCATTTCTTGGTCTTGTTAGCAGAGCTAAAGCAGCTAAACTTGTTCGAACTTTAGTCGATCTTTTTCTTGATATGGAAGCGGGTACTGGTGAAGAAGTAAATTGATTTAATTTTTTTTTTTTCTTTTTGAGTTTTTCATTTTTCTATTATTTATTTTATTTAGGTTACATTATGTCAAGAAAACATCGAATGGGCAAAAAGTGAAAATCGAACATTTCTTCGACAAGATCTTGAGGTAAATTTTCTAAAACGCGATCTAAAAGGAATTATTGAAGTCCAGAAGTAGACAATTTGAAACGTTTATAGATCATGACAAACGCTGTTGATATATGATTCAAGGTCGTATATCAACAACGTCTCGTTATAATATATGAACTACTTTCTTATGACATTTCTGAAAGATTAAGTAGAAGGTTGATGAAGAAATATATCCCTAAATAGATAGAATACAATAGTCTCCCTATGACTAGCAATAACAGCTACGTTGTCTTTTACATTATAATTCCACAGGGATTACGCTAACAATTTTTTTTTTGTAAAAGTTTTATTGAAGTAAAATTTGTTTTTTTAGGCACGTCTTGTAGCTTTATATTATGATACAAAAAAATATAATGAAGCACTTACACTTGGTTCTCAATTACTTAAAGAATTAAAAAAACTTGATGATAAACAATTACTTGTTGAAGTTCAATTATTGGAAAGTAAAACGTATTTTGCTTTAAGTAATATACAAAAAGCAAGGTTAGATTTATTTAAAATTAAATTTTGAATTTAATTGATTTGTTTATATAGAGCTGCATTAACATCAGCAAGAACAACGGCAAATGCAATTTATACACCACCAAAACTTCAAGCTAGTCTTGATTTACAATCAGGTTGATAATTATTTTTAGTTTTTTTTTTTGTTCATGTGATTTTCAATTGAAGATAATCTTTTCTATTTAAAGGAATTCTTCATGGAGCTGAAGATAAAGATTTTAAAACGGCATTTTCATATTTTTATGAAGCATTTGAAGGTTATGATCAAATTAATAACAGTAAAGGTGTTACTGCTCTTAAATATATGTTATTATCAAAAGTGATGATGAATCTGTAGGTTTACTTGATTTAGCTATTTATGTCTTATGCAACTTGTAACTTCGACATTGACATTTATCGAAGTTATTTTTAACATACCAATCAATGAATAACTTATTCATTGGTTATTGTACTATCATAATATATGATGAAAACTAAAATTTTTCTGAATAATTGTGTAGCAAGAGATTATAAAGATGAACGTATCGTTCAGTAAAAGCAAAAGTATTTATGATGAATGAAAATTCGTTTTATAGTTAACATTTCGAACAAACAAGCATGATTATTTTAATTAATATTAGAATCTACGATTTCAAAAAAAGGTTACATCTATTTCTGAATGTACCATCAATCAAATTCAATAGAGATGAAGACAATTCAAAACGATATGCTTCCATATTCTTTTTTTTTTCCTTGTAACATATGTATATTTATTAGAGAAAAATTCTTTTTATGACAGTAGAATAGTCAATTCATAAATATTAATTGTTTAGCATTTTAAAAATAACTTTGACTAACGTCAACGTGGAAGTTGCTGCCTCATCGACCAATAATATAACTTCTATACACAATATATGTATCCATATTATTTTTCATTTATACTTTATAGACCTGATGATGTTAATGCATTAATGTCGGTAAAATTAGCATTAAAATACAGTGGTCGAGATGTTGAAGCAATGAAAGCAATTGCACAAGCAAGTAAGAAACGATCATTAGCTGATTTTCAACAGGTTTGTTGTCGAAATTTCAAAAAAAAAAAAATTTATTAAAAATTTACATATATATATATACATCTAGGCATTGAAAGATTATAAAACAGAATTATCTGATGATCCAGTAGTTCATTCACATTTGGGTACATTATATGATAATTTACTTGAACAAAATCTTAGTCGTTTGCTTGAACCATTTTCTAATGTTCAAATTGAACATATTGCACGTTTAATTGATTTACCTCAAGTATGTATTATTCTTGAATATTTAAATAAAAATAAAAATTATTTATTGTTGTGTATTTTTTTAGGATGTTGTTGAAAAAAAACTTTCTCAAATGATTTTAGATAAGAAACTTAGTGGTATACTTGATCAAGGTTCTTCAAATATCGTTATTTTTGATGAAACACCAACGGATACTCAATATCAAGATGCACTTGTTATTATTCAAAATATGTCAAAAGTGGTTGATACTCTCTTTAGTAAAACAAAGAAACTGTCTTAGAATTTTTCATTTTTTTGAATGTTTATTCCCTTTATACTGTTAATTCTTGTTCACATTCAAGCATGAACTAAAATTCTTTTTTTTCTTGTCGCGTTAACCAAAAAAAAGAAAAAAATAAGAATAATCGGATAACTTTGAAAGCGCATGTTTGTCGAGAACTATTATAATGATTGATCGTTCGTAGTTGAAGTATATGTTATCTATATGAAATCTTGAAATTCATGTTTTTATAATAAGAATTTCCTAAGATACTATTGAGGTAATTGAATAGATGAAACGGCGATTAATTAAGAATCGTGAAAGAAAAGCAAACAAAAATGGTGAAATGTGAGCATGTATTATAAGTAACATGAGCTTCAATTTATGAACAGATGATTCATAAATGTTAATGACTGTTCGCAGCTGATAGTGAAATGTCGAATCAAAGTCTAAATGAACTTGATCAATCCTTCGTGTACACCTAATTCTTCAAGAAAGTTTTATTTAATATCCGTCTTATAAAAGAACATGGTTATGTTGCCAAGAACATTTCATTGGTAAAGTTATCAAACTAAAAAATCTCGATATACTTATTAGTATTTTCTCTATTCAATGCTCAACCAGACATTACATATCATGGTCGTCTGTTTTCAATGGCAATTGTTTTTGCAGTCACATAAATCGCTTGTGTCCAGATCTAGAACTGGTTGAATTTTTGTTTCCATCAGACTGACGTGGACTGTTGCAATCCTGAACTTAAGTGCCAGCAAGCCAATTCGTTTAATTTGTCTACTAGACAACTAAATAGTAGTTTTTGTTTCATCATGGGATATTGCTTGAGTTGGTGCTTCTACACAATATACATCTTACTATTAATTAACATGAATAAATTGATAGACAACGACCACAGATTTGGGAGAAGGCAGTGTGTCTTATGTAGAAATACCTTTGAATTTAGTCACTAAGAAAGCCGATCTTGTTTTAATATTACCAGTCACAGGTATATAAGGCAAAATATGTTGAATAAATGTTCATAGAACATACGACCATATTACGAGAAAAAAAAGGAATCAAATCGTTTGAATTGTATAAGAAATATTTACGTTTACTATTCTAAGAAATATTAGTCGCATGAATATATCTAAAGCAAACATAATTGTACCGATTTGAAAGACTATAGAAAACTGAACTACTAATACATACAACAAACAAAAATGAGAGAATATGGAGAGCTCAATCACGTTGTCTAGAAGTGTATCACTGAATATCTAATGACGTCTGCCTTTTTCATAATTGAGATGATAAAAAAATCAGTCTTACATAAAGGATGCATATCATTTATGACAAATTCGGGTTTAACGGAATCAATTCCTAAATTATATCTGTATTTGAGAATAATTAGACAATTAAGGTCAATTCTGATGACCAAGTAGAGATTTTTCTAATATAAGATAAATCATGCATACCTCGACGTGTAATAGTTCCCGATTGATGATCAAAGCAGTTCCGCTCCTTAGTCAGGCACTGTCACACGTCTCGGTATGTATTTCTTATATTAAAAAGAAATCCTAAGCTAAAATGCTCAATTGATCACAAGAATTGGCCTTAATTTGTTTAATTATTCTAAAAAGTGAATATGATTTAGGAATTGTTTCAGAGAACCAGAATTTATGTTATATAAAAACGGATTATACATAAAGACTCGAACTTAACTACTTTATGTTTGCAGAAAATAACCTTATAATACACATTGGTTCTTTTAATTCATCCGGATTACAATTTTGTTTTTTTTTTTCGTCCTAAAGTCTTACTAAAACAAAATACGTTAATCTTATCAAGATTGATATAACATGATTTATAAAAACAAAAATTGCAATATTCTACTTAATGTAAAAGGGCAAAAAATACCACCTGAATAAATTTATTTGAAAAGGAAAAAGTTTAACTACGCAAAATAACATAGGATTTTGTCTTATTTTATACTAAAATATGTTCAACAATACGACGATATATTGCAAAACAAAAAGTATGTTCGTAATCATCACGCTTTTTGTGATTGTGACATCTGTAGTTTGTGAGCGTCAAACTCCTCCTTCACATCCTATATGGCCAATTGGATTTAAGTAAAATTTATTTTTCAAATAAAAATTCTATAAATAAATCAATTGTATTTTACAGAACCGACGCACTAATAACCGCTTTTGATGACGATAATCAACCTCATCCTCATCGTAGTGTATTTTATTATACCTATACAAATCAAACACTTAGTGGACGCTTACATGGTCAAGAACGACATGATCATTTTGGTTATTGTTATGGTTGGGCTTTAAATGAACCAAGTTGCATTATTTTAATTACCAATAATGTTTACATTGTCGCTCGTAATCTTTGTTGTGTAGCTATGCCAGGAAATTTTGGTGTGCCTATTACTTGGCTTAGAGGTGCAACATGGCTTGGAATAGAACAAATCCATAACAAAACAGTTGATCATTGGTATTCGTATGACCATGAATATTGGAGTGAAGTTGATGAACCAAGAAATGGTGTTCGTTATTCAGGACCAAACTTTAAAACACCACGTCAATTTACTGATTATGATAATTGGGAAATTGGTCCACAAGATCCACGTCTTTTTGATTTACCAGAAAATACCGATTGTGATCAACCTTGTTCATAAATGAAATTAGATTGAAAACATTTAATATCTTTGTAAAGAAAAATTACGAACATTGAGATCATTAATAAAAGAAATATATCTCTATTATCACATATATATTTAAACATGCAAAGTTTTAAGTTCAACCATTTTTTCAATAGATCGACGACCGATTTTGTGAAAGATCTCGATAGGATTTTATTTCATCAAATACACATTATTATTCATAAAATTGTACCTGAATAGTAAGACATTGAACAAAAAAAAAATATATATAACTGAATATTCCTATTGCAATCTCCTTTTGTTTTGTTCATTTAAAAATGACTTACAAGAAAAATTCCCAACTAATTAATCGCTTTTGAATCGAGACTACGTGTATCATGTTGGTCTTCATGAGTATCCTTAAACGAATTCGGACACAGAGTTTATTACTGCAGGATACGACACTTTTACGAATGTTTTTTAAACAATGCCATGATTCCCTTTAGAAACACTAGGAAAGCTGATTATCGAATTTCAACTTGAAGCTTTGGATAGAGATAGGTCTTTGTAAAAATATTTGATCATGAAATTTTCAGGTCTTTTGATTTTCTCCTATCATGAAATAAGAACATCGAATTTGTGGTGTATATCAACGAGGTGAAAGACATGCTTTTACCATAACTGTATCTTAGGATAGAAACAATGAAAAGCTCTAAAACTTCCACAACGAAGCATTTTCATTAGGGCCTGTCTATGACAAAGTTTCAAGTCGAAATTCGAAAATCATTTTGCATAATGTTTCTGAGGGTTCAGAATATTCGTAGCTCATTAGGGAGAAGTTTGGTTTATAATTGTAGCAAGACCGAAAGAAAAATGTCGAAACTCGGAGAAGATTGAAACAAACTTGCCTCCGATAAATACTGAGTGTAATCCTCAATAGTTTATTATTGTTGCAAGAGTAAAGCAAGTCATAACAATTGCTATTCAACTTCATACAGATAATCTTGATGTACGGTATTATGATGGTCTAATAAATGTAATGTTGCTATACGGAAAAAATGACACTACCATTTCTTTTGTTTTTTTTTATCTCTTGGGATGGGTGTGGGTGTGGGTCCTGGTTTTCTATTCGTGCACATCCACATCCACACTCAATCCATTTGTATATGATACACCATGATGGAGTTGTTACCTTAAAACTCTAAAAGATAGAAATGTGAAATATTACTCTCAATATGCCACAGAAATTTCTTACTCTTTTATTTAAAATTAATAACAAAGATTACTATTCTATAAAATAAACATTGATGGATAAGAATCATTAACTTTTTTACCGCAGTAAATTCTTCTTACAGCATTCTATCGATAGCAATAAATAGGCCTGTAATAGCTCAAAGTTCTATGAACCGATTCTTTTTCGAGAACTATATTAAGTGACCAGTTCTTTTCATATAAACTATGTTTACTGATAATGGTAATGCAGCAATTCAATGCATTATCTGTTCCATTTATCCAAAATGAAGAACGGGTTACTGCATCCAATTCTCAAAACAGAACAAGTTCATGGAACTGATCTACTTGAACGATTCAGGTCTTTTGAAAAGAACTAGATGATTGATGCCACTTGAATTCCTCGAGTCCTAACTTCACTCGTCTAGAAATAACAAAAAAAAGCCACGAGACATGACACGAAGATGGGACTTTTTTTCTCGAGATTTTGCAAGCTACCTATTCTGGTCAATTGTCTAATCATTAGTTTTTCTATAACTCCATATTCCTTGTGTTCTCCTAACAATTGATGATAATCAGACAGCATTAAATACTTGCCTTGTTAGCTTAAGGAAATTTTTAATGGGATATCATTAGGCCTAGCGTCGATCTTAATAATGATTATTTTTAACGTTCAATTTTGTATGATTTTGTATTTATTTCTGCGTGCTAATTATATATGGAACTCACATATTTGAAGAAGGAAAATATTAAGTGTAATTTATAAGGCGAGAACTTTTGGTCCTTCTCCTCCCACACTACGGCAACTCGATTCAATATGTGCGGGTGAGGATATACATCAGTAGCTTTGACATCGCTGATTGGTTCGGGTTTAAAGTAAGCGGATACTTTCGTATAACAATCAAAGACAATAAGCACTAGACTTCTTTCCTATAGTTCTTTAGCAACAGAAAAAATTGCTGAGCAACATTAATAACAAGACTTAGCTGATTCGAGAATATTCCATAGCCTCTCTTGATATTTTAATAGCTGAAATACATTTTTAATGTTCTACATCACGCAATTTCTGATTTTTATGCCGATAATGGATTCTATGATAGATGTAAAAGATAATAGCTGGTGATGTTTTGATTTGTCACAGTTGTCATATGAACAACACTTTATTTATAAATTGATCAAGCTGTGACTTTCGGGAATAATCAATATTAGTGTTTCCGAGATTATCGAGATAGTGGTAGAATATTGAGACATATTGTATATATAATAGAGAATATTAGTAAAAAACGCTCTGAACTAAAAGTCCAAACAAATAAATATTCGGAAAAATGATGTTAGATGAAGTTGTGGTAAATGTCTGATGGTTTTAGTCAATTCAAAATAGGTAGTAGAGCTACATTTGACTTCATTTTCCAAACATTTATTTTGCTGAGATTGTGGCTCAGGATGACGCAGAACCAGTATCCTATAATCGATATGTACAAGAGGCTTATTTGTCAGTTAAATCAGTATTTAGCATAATAATATCAATTTAAGAAAAAACGAAAGAAAATAAATAACGAGTTAATAACAACAAGACAAATGAAAAAAAAGTGCAAGTAAAAATCTAAAAAAAATCCTATTCGAAATGTAGAAATAAATAAGTCAGATTGTTTGGCTAACAGGTGATTATTCTAGGAAAGAAACTATTATCTATTAGAAATTTATCATTTAACAAATTTTGTATTCGTATAACGATTCTGAAAGAAAGGCATGTGAGTCCTACGTTTTAGTGAGAAAGAATCTGTGCTAACAATCTTTTTCTTTATTTGCATTTAACAGCTTCAATAATAAAAATAATGGAAGCTCCAATTATTTGATTAGTTTTACACGCTTCAATATAACGTTTTTGAAAGTCTTTGCTTTCCTCTTCGGTTAAGATACCTTTTGTAACCAATATTTCTCCCATTCCTTGAAGTTTAACCCAATCTTTATCTTGACTTGCTAGGAAATGACCTGATTGAAGAAAAGCTATTGGATTTGAACCTTTAATATCAAAATCCATTTTTGGTAACATAAATTGTAAACGAATTGCAGTTCCACCATCTCTTCGGATTGGTAAAACAGTATCATATGTTTTAATCATAATTTCATCAGGATAATAAATATTTCCAGCACCACCTTCTAATGCTATTAATCGACCATTAACTTTTAATACTCGTTTAATTTCCATTATAGCTTTTTCAAGATCTACATGTTGAAGAGTAATATCAGAACGGACAATATCAAAAGTTTCATCATTAAATTCCATTTGAAGAATATCACCACGAATTATTTGAATAAATACATTCGATGATAAACGATCTTTTTGACTTTCATATAATTTTTTTGCTTCTTCAATCATAGTTGAATTTTGATCTAAACCAATAATTGAAACTGTTTTACCTAAACGATTAGCTTCTTCTGCTACTAACATTAAATCAATACCTAAACCACATCCAATATCAAGAATTTTAATTTCTTGTGAATTATCAAATTGATCAAGTTTCATAATTTTAATAACACGTTCTTTTGCATCAACCCAATCTTTTGATAAACGTTGTTGTAATAAATGTTCAACAAGATCAAGTTTTAATCCTGACGTGAGTATATTTTTATTATCTTTCCATACATTACTAAAATCTTCATTAGCAAGACGCTTCTTTTCAGTCATTTTGTGTATTGTAATTAAAAGATATTAATAGTTAATATAATGTTAAATGTCACTCTTTATATATATGTGAAATCTATTTAAAAAAAAACATCATAAAGACAAAGATAAATATTTTATTTATGACGAAATAATAACAATAATAAATTCATGCAAAGAACACATTGGCAAAAGAAAGCAAAACACAGTGTTATTAATCATTGTAATTCGAGATAAAATCGATACATTTTAGTTTTAAGGTCGCTTCGTTCCATCAGAAAAACAAAATTTACGAAAAATGTGTAGTCAAATATTTTGAAATGTGTACGTTAAGTGGCTCATTCTGAACAAATATCTTGAATAATATTCGAGCGCGTAACCAAGGTTTTTTAGTCACGGTCATCATGAATCGCGATCTATTTTCTTGAATGATGTTTATTGTGATGAAAATTAGATAAAAACAAAAACAAATAAAAATGATGAGATTATTAACCAAGAAGAAAGTAACGTTTTTAATTGATTCAATTCGATTCAATGGAATAGTAACACGTACGTGTGTTTTCGTTTAACTGTATTTGTAACAAAATATGTACTTTTGGGGGATGTGACTGTCTATCTTCTCCTAACTCGCTGTCAGATCCACACTCTCCATCAAAACTTGCTTATTTCCATAAAATTTCGCGGTTTTTATTGAGAATTTGTTGATTTCATGTATGTGTCAAAACTGAAGGAGGAAAAAAACTTGAAAAAAGGGCCATGTGAGTCACTAGTTCCAAGTGTCTTATGCAAAATAAAAAAAAAAGAATAGACTTTTTGTAGTTGTAAGGGCTGAATGCTGTTGAAGACCATAGCAGATCTAAAAAATGAGTGCAATGAATAGACCAACATTGTTATAACGACAATAAATAATGAGATGCGAAGTTGAAATTATTTTTGTATATGTAATTTGATAGCTCCATTATATGTATAAAATTTCAGCTCAATAGCATGAAGATCCCGCTCTGAAGGAGGGGAGAGAGTTTGTTGCGTAAAATTTTTTATTCATTCTAATATTTACTTTAAGAATATATGTCCATTCATGAGAAGAAAAAAAATGCCTTAGGAATTTATGCAAGTACTACCTTCTAATAAAGTATGCTTTAATATTCGATATGATTGCTGATTGCAAGATTTACCTAAATTTATTTTTCAGATGCTTTCATGCTAAGAGAAGTTAACCGTACAAATACATCGGTGTCATTTTAGGTTCTTTATGTAGTCATCAGCGTCATTGCTGAATCCGTCGCTTAAATAATTGCTAGTCGATCAATGAGTTCTCAGAAAAAAAACCATTTAGCTATAGTAAACGATTGCATACTTTCTGATCAAAACTAATTTGCCTATTCGAGCAGTAAGCGGAAGAGAATTGGGTTAAGTCATGACTAATCGACACAGGAAACAGTTTCATACTACCAGTCACTCGACTCATATTTATTTGTTGTGGTGCTAGGATTGGATGAGAACAAGTAACCAATTAAAAAATGTTTTTTTTTTGTTTTGAAGAGTATATTGATTTAGTTAGATGCTCCTATTGTTCTATCGATTTTATTCCTTCAACAAGAGAACTCTGCCTCGAAACTTACGTCAGTTAATCTTTCTAAAGAAACTCATAGCTGTTATATCCTCTTCCTTAATTATCTAAAAGGTTCTAATTCTTATATATTATACAAAAGCGTGATGTTTCTCTGGATACAACAACTACTTAGACAAAGTACAACAAATTCACAACACATGTATAGTAAAATAGAGATTTTTACACTCAATATATATTTTACAATAGAATCAGAACAAAAAACAGCAAAATTATAGGGTTATCTTTTATTTTTCATTCTTCTTTCTTAACTTGAATAGTAATACGGAACACGATCATAATGGTAATAGTCCTGGACTGATGAATCATTTCCCGTATCAATATTGAAGTGAAGAAAGAGGAAACACAGATCGAGCAAGCGCATGCGTAAGGGACCATTAATCATCGTATATTGGCGTATTATATGGTCTAGCATTATGATCGTATTTTACCGTATCACATACGGAGAAATACCATCGTTGACGAAGTTTATATACAATTTCCATTTTACTCAATTTCTCGTTGTCAGTGACCATTTTAGATGGTTTTCTCGCCGTTTCATAGACACGGTATGACGATTATTTTTAACTGTGTACGGCATGATAAAATACAGTCGTTTTCTACTTCATACGGGTTTCGTATTTTTCGTCCTAGCAGAAAAAAGAACAATAACTGTCGATTGTTGTTTTTTTTTCCTGAAGTTCCGCCAAAGTACGGCTGAGATGAGGGATGTACACCCGTCCAATAATTGAAAATAATTCATTGGTACTCAGCAAGATGAGAAACATTTTTTTTGAAATTTTACACTAGCTCTATGAGACATTTTCTAATACACCCTCTAATCTTGGAGCTCTGACGTAGGCCCTCGTCTGTTCTTATTCAATTGTAATATGTATAGTCAGTTTAATGATGTAGATTTTAGTACATGTAAATGTGGATAAGATCATCATTTTAACCTTAACCTCAAATCCTAACCGTCACTTACAAACTCTAGTGGCCTTATACACATCACACTCCTTATAATAACACTAAGTAATTGAAGTTGAGAATCACTCAGCGAAAAATGCATTCGAATGTGTAGAGAAATCATATCCATTGCGTATTATCGAGTTACATTTTTGTTTCTATTATTGTGCGTTTTTTTCTTTCAATTGAAGTGTTCGATTGAAAAAAAACAAGAACTTGCGATATGAACATAACTATTATTAAGATATAAACAATTCAAGTAAAATCTTCTCTTTGTTCGTCTACTATTTGAAAGATTTATGCGAAAATCTAGTGAACGACAAAAGAACTCCTTTGAATTGCTACGTCTCATTAGATCGAAATCGTATTTTTGATTATGATGATAGATCAAACCCTTTTGGGTAAAATCTGTTAGGAAAGAATTCTACTTCAATGAATCGATTGAACAAGATGAATGTCAACTCGTTCTGATAATCGTGAATTAGTATCCTCTCCTGAAAGTTTAGCATTGCTCTTGCGTCTTTTCTACAAAAAGAAATGAGTTCGACCGATCGCCCGAAGCTTCTGATAACAGAATGACTCAAAAATAATGTTTAGGACTTGGTTGATCGATTTTCCATCCTGAGAATGTAGGCTTTGTATTATAGTATCTATCTGAGAAACAATTGTGTATTTCTAGAATAGAAAAATCTATCATTTTCGAAGATCATTAATTCTCGACGACTTATTCATTCATGTTTCTGACATCATATGTACATACGTAACTTATAGAAATAGTCAAAAGTAAGTAGTGCAAGAATAGAATTTTTCACTGATCTTTTTGAACAAGAACATACTCGATTTTAAGGCTTTGTACTACTTACTATTCATCTTCACTGATTCTAATTAATTTCTCCTGACTACTAAAGATGATGAATCATCAATATCTCAAGTTCTTGATATAAAAATTTATTTTATTGAGAAACAAAACAGTTTTCACCAAGCTGAAGTCATTCAAGTATCGATACTATAAACTATTACTTAAATGAAAAAAAACTAAGATATAATAAGTTTATTTTAAAAAAATTCATTCTAATCGATTGACAATCAGGTTAGTCATTTATTATCGACTGTTTTGATTTGAACAGTCATTCAATTAGAGCTTAAAGATGATCCTTTATCAGCTGAAAAAATCTTCATACACCTCTTGTATGTCAGTAGGTTTCGATACAGTTGATTTGAGAGAAGATCCTGATAAAAAGTTAATCAGATTCCAATCCATACAAAAAAAAAGTTTTTTATTTTAATCTGTGCGTACATTAAAATCCGTTTTATTCAAATTATTTGTATAAAGTAATATTTTTTCGTAAAAAAATCGGATCAATATGCTCATAATAGAAAATACTTATGATTATTCCTTGAATAGTTTTCACTGATTTAATGAAATTAATTCACAAGTAGCAGATCCTTGGTGTTTTTTAGCATTAAAATTTCCCTTGTAATATAGTCATGACAGCTGTAATTATTTAATGCAAGAGTATAGAACTGCGACAAAAAACATTTTAATTTTGATTACAAGCTTTCAACGATTTACAATTGTCATCATCAGGAAATCATTAGAAAAGAACAAAGTTAACCCATATATATAGGGTGTACCAAAATTATAAGACCCCTCTTTATTTTTGAAGTTTTCCCACAAAAACGGGCAGCTAGGTAAAATCTAAATAGTGATTTGGATAGCCCTTGAAAATCTCTATCGAATACAGTATGAGCCAGAATTTCTAAAGAAACTTAGTGAAGAGAGTTTTCCAGAAAACCGTTTCACCTAAAATTCGAGTTTTTGATAGGTTTGATTAAAATGTTTTTAAATATAGTCATCTAAAAGAGCAAAAAATTCTGAGCAAAATGAGTGGTCGCCCAGCTCTCCGCGATGTTTCTTCGCAGAGTTATAAGCAGCAGAAAAATGGAAAAAAAATGTTTTTTAGCGGTTTTTTGATTAATTCTGCAATTCTTCCCATTTTTCTGGTGCTTATAACTCTGCGAGGAGACACCGTGGAGAGCTGGGCGACCACTCATTTTGCTCTTTCAGATGACTATATTTAAAAACGTTTTTGTCAAAACTCTCAAAAACTCGAATTTTAGGTGAAACGGTTTTCTGGAAAACTCTCTTCACTAAGTTTCTTTAGAAATTCTGGCTCATACTGTATTCGATAGAGATTTTCAAGGGCTATTCAAATCACTATTTAGATTTTACCTAGCTGCCCGTTTTTGTGGAAAAACTTCAAAAATAAAAGGGGGTCTTATAATTTTGGTACACCCTGTATATATGTATACTTAATGAGGCATAGAAAAGAACAGAACATAGAAAAAAAAATATTACAATATCAATTTATACATCAAAGCTAATTACAGCTTCACTATACTTATTAATTTAACGTACAGTGAAGTTGTAATTGTTTTAGCTTTGATGTATAAATTGATATGGTAATATTTTTGTTGCCTATGTTCTGTTTTTTTCTATGCCTTGTTGTCTATACATATATATATAGGTTAACTTTGTTCTTTTCTAATGATTTCCTGATGATGACAATTGTAAATTATTGAAAGCTTGAAATCAAAAAATAAAATGTTTTTTGTCGCAGTTCTAAACTCTTCCATTAAATACTTATTTCAACTTGCGCCTTCACCCAACTGTAATTACTCTAATGATGAAATAATTTTGTTACTGCCAATGAAAAGATTGCGCTTTAGCGCCGTGTTCTTTTACTTTGAAAGGAAAAAAAATCCACAACACAACTACTTGCTGCATCAACATGCAGGTAACAGCGTTTTTTCTTCTTCAAACATAACAGCGTGCAGATAGGTAATCGTAAATACATTCTACTACTTTTGCTCTATCAACAAAAAACATTTCATTATGTCTGAATCACTTATTATTAATCATTATGTAGAGTATAATATTCGAGAGTACTCAAAAAAAAGCCATGCTTCGTTTTTTTTTTCGGTTGTAACGCTCTGCATCTTACGCAGTGTATTTTTCGCATTGATCAACGTAGAAAAAAATGTATTGGCAACAACTGTGAGATTGTCATATATAAATCGTGCTTTGTCTACTTTGTCATGTAATAACAAATAAGGCTCAATTTGTTTGAAAATTTTATGGATGATTTGAGGTGACATAACAGGTAAACAAACGATTCGTTTGAATTTCTTGTTTTTGATTTCTATGAGCAACGACCTTGATCATAACGAATGTTTTGTAAATATCAAAGTAATTGTCATATAACTAGGATTCTGTATGATTAGAAAACATTTCGAAGAAAAAATTTTGTAAGGTCTCTTTTATACAAACTCACAATAGAATGGGTGTTTTATAGACCTTCTCAGTTTTCTTTTTTGAGCGTTTAAGACTTCACTTGCTGATGGTATTTGCGTGCACTGGGTAACAGGTAGAGTACATTCCTTCCTGAAATAGAAGACTTTCATATTAGGAGAATACTTTTAGAGAAATAATGCACCGAACGTAATAGAAGATCTTTCTTAATTAATTGATTTCTCACAAAATTCAATCTTTAATTAACATATATACATTAAAATATGCCTAGTATTTAGAAGTTTGAACTGAAGAACCTTAACATATTGAGGCAATTACATATAACTGTTAATTCATTCGTCTAGAGGAGATCTGAACATTTTCCTCGGCAAGCAGTAAAAAATAATCGATTTCAATGTGTAATTTAACTAAATTGTTTCATTAGTCATGAATACAAATGACTGTAGGAGACGCAAATCGATTCTCACTTAAAAATTTAAGAGTGGTATCATTAACAAACTAATGTTCATACCAAAATTGATATTGATAACTCAAAGCAAGTCGTTGACATGATATACATGTAATTATTAAAATTACACAGTCGATTTCAAATATTTGAATAAGATGAATATTTATTGTAATATCATCTGTGAATCACTAACATTCTACGAAAAATTAGTCAAGGATTCGGGTAATTATTTCGGAAGCATATCAGAGTTAACATCAACTACATCCGAAGTATATCGAATGCTCAGAAGTAGTAGACCTTAATGTTCTGATGCCAAAACTCACCTTTAAAAATTTTAAATGATGTCTTGATAGTTTCTAATCCCAGATTTGAAGAGCCCTATTAAGGTGGAAACGTTTTTCTTCAATGTTTCTTTTAGATCGACAAGGCCTCCAGAAAAATTCAATTCTTTCGAGGTTTTGCGACCCCAGTTTCTTCCACGAGAAATATGATGGAAAGCTAAAGCCAATCACTAAGTTTGTGGATTTAGGGAGCGAACTTCGACCTTGTTGCTCGATTTCTGAACTCTCGACTGAGAAAATTAAGGACTTCGATGAGGAGAACAACAAATATTCATAATTTACTCAACGAAATCTGTCGAAAAAAATTATATTTTGACATTCGTTCAGTACTTTAATCATTGATGATTGGTTTTAGAAGGGTTTCCACTAGGTTTTTTCCAAATCTTTTGAGCTCACTGGCTATGAATATGAACCATTTTTTTGTTATAATCTAGGTCACGAACATTCTAAATATAAGACTTTCCTATCCTCAGAATCTTTAGTTTTCTCAGTTGAGAGTTCAGAAGTTGAGCAACAAGATCGAAGTTTGTTCCCCAAATTCGCAAACTTAGCGACTGACTTTAGCTTATCATCATGTTTCTCGTGGAGGAAACTAGGCTCGCAAAACCTTGGAAAATTTGAATTTTTCGAGAGGCTCTGTCGATCCAGAGAAAACATTGAAAAAAAAGTATTTATCTTACTGATTAGTATCTATTCTGAAAGTCGGAGTCTTCTATCATTTAAAAAGTCCTAAAAAATCGAATTTTGACTAGGAAGGCTCTTACAACCAATAGTCAAAAACTATTAAGATATCATTAAAAAAATTTTGAAGATGAACTTTGGATCAGAAGACTAAGTTCTACTCCTTCTAAACATTCAAAACACATCAGATGTAGTTAATGTAATCGTCGTAGATGTCCCAAAGAACCACTTAAACTCATGGTTCGTTGGAAAATACATGACAATTATCACTAGAGAAATCAATACACAATATATATATTCATATGGTTTTGTATTCTAGATAAATTTCATCCGTAGTTGATGTCAATCGATTAACTATCATAATGCTTGATGAAAAAGAAAGTTTACGACCATATCCAATTGATCCCATACAAGATCGAGTTGTTCGTAAAATTTTACGTATCAAAGAAAAAGGTCCTGTATCAAGAACAATAGGATTTTTTTCCAATATATCTCAACGTGTAACATATCCTATTAGTGAATATATCAAAGAAAAATCGAAGGGAAAAATTTTTGAAAAAAAAGAAGCAAATGAAATTATTTTTCCACTTGTTTGTACACCGATTGATGCAATAGATTCAAAATTTTTCTATGCAATTCGAGATGGAAAAATATGGTTTAAACCAATTGCTGCTCATCAAGATTGTCGATGGAGATTATTAGGTAAAAATGGTTATGCTAATAAGAAAACAACTCCATTAATATCTGTAAGTGCTGATGGTAATAATATTATTGTTGTTGATCAAAATCGAGTTATTCATTATGCAAAAACGAATCGAATTATTTGTAAAGTTTCATTTATTCGTCCACAATGGGGCATCATTCAATTAAGAATTAGTTGGAGAGAAAAATGGTTTGGTATGGAAGGTGTTTCTTTAATTGTAAATCTTTTTAAAGATCCCGTTTTACACATGCCTCCAAATGCAAGGAGTATAGCTGTATCTCATAAAGGTCCTGATACAATGTATTATACTGATATGAATGGAAAAAAACATCCAGATCCATATGTTGGTGTAACAAGTATCTATACACTCAATGATGATGGCACAAGAATTTTTTTTGCTGATCCATGGTTACATAATCAATTTCAAAATGAATTAACTGGTCCTGAAGAGGGTCAATTTAAAGCTGAAACATTAGCTGCAAGTGGTTCAACTGTAATGCTTTTTCAAAGAGCACGTAATGAATTTGGTCAAGAAATTAATAAAATCTATACACGTTTTGCAGATTTTGATAGTATTGGAGCAAATCCAGCATTACGAGCAACATATAATAAAAACAATAAAATACCAATGATACGTTATATACCATCTGAAGATTGGATTCGACAACCGAGTATAATTCTTGATGGACGAGCTCGTTTAACAAGAAATATAGCTGTACTTCAAATTGGATGGGGACAAAATAATCGACAATTACGTGTTCAAGGTCAAGATATAAATGGTCGAAATGGTTATTATTTTAAAAATACCTATGATATGATATGGACATTTGAAATAACAAATAACATCCTTATTGAAGAAGAAGAATTTTTATCTAATTCTATTCCGCATATAGGATTTGAACAAGGTCCTCAAATAATTGAAAATTACACAAATGGTATATTAAAATCTCGTACTAAGAACAAATTATTAGAAATTACTTTAGAAAATTTTTCTAGAAGAGGTCTTAATGAAAGAGGTTTACATACAAAATTAGTTCTTACATTGGAAAATGGTTTTCAATTATCTTTACCACTCTATGCTAGACGAGGATGGAAAAGTTTAATAGGTATTTCAGGTGATAATATTTGGAAATTAATAATTCCAAACGAATATTATGATGAAGAAGATGAACAAATACGAGAAATCTTACATCGAATCTTTAAAAATAAACGAAGACATCCAGTAAATGTGTACGAAAGAGCTGATGAAATTCGTATAACTAATGTATTTAGCAATTTTAACAAATTCGAATTCACTTTCAGCAATAAACTTCATTGATTATCAACTTCACATCGCATTGATCATGAAGCGTACGATTTTCAACGAATGACACTTACAAAAAATTGAATCTTGATATTTTCCTAAGATATAGCTTTGTGAGAATGTTTCGATTGCACAGTCATAATAAAAGTTTCTACACCTAATACATACATTACATGTCATTTTAGTTTCATTAATAATCATGTTTAGCAAAAAAAAGTTATGAGCAAAGTGATAGACAAAAAGAATATTCTTTCACCAAAAAGACCCTGAATAATATATATTGATTCTTGTCTTCCTAGAATTTAAAAAAAAGAAGAAAGGCAGAGAATAAATTTTGAATCTCGTACATGACGCAATGCTCTATTCTACCATCAGTGACTAGTCGATATAGGACATTGTAGTCAAAACGAGTCGATCGAATTCGTATTTCAGAATATGGATTGAGGCTAAATTTGTACTTAATGATAAATTATTATTTTGTGGAAATTCAAAATATATAACCATGTACGTTAATTTGTAGAAAATTCCATTTAACTTGAGGATATGGAATTGTTCTAATAGCTTACGATCGCCTGAGCTGCCCAGAATAAACCATAGACTCATCATGAAGTGTAGGTGTGAGTGGTTAGAAGACGATCAGGTTTACCCTAAAACTTGTACCCTAATTCACACATCCACAATATTCGAGAATGCATCAATCAAACTTTGATGACATTTTTTCGTTCATTCATCGAAATAGCTCTAATCATTAATTGAATTTTTGCATTCAAACTCAGACCTTAGAGTGACGCTGGATTTTATTTTTTTAATTCTTGTGTGATACACATATTATTTGATAGCCAAATTTAAATTCATTCACAATTCGAATTTTTATTGCCAAAATTAAGATAATCTTAATCTGTGATTCGGTACGAGCTGGAGTATAAGAAGAATGAGGCTATCTATATCATTGGTAATGAATGGATATCTCATGAATCCTTCTCATTAGAAAGATCTTTTTCAGCTTATTTCGATAACACGAAATCTATCTTGTGATGAATATGTTCTAAATGTCTTTGATATAGATAGAATAAAACTATTTGATTAATGAGAACCTTAGAAATTGTATATGATACGTGGTTAATTTTGTATTCCGGATCTTTGAAGCATCTGAGCATTGATTGTAAAACCAAAATTTGACGTTCGACTGAGTGCGGAATAATGATTACAACAGATCATGAACGCCATTGATTTCTATGTTGTAAAATCTCTCAGATATCTTTCGTGAACGCGACAAGACATGTCTCTAAATATATCTTTACCTAGTTGTTATGATATGAAAAGTTGTACCTGCTAGAAACGATGAATGAAGGTCATTCGTATGTCTATTTTACTACTTATAAGATAAAAAACTATGTTACACCAAGTCAGATTTTTCAGTGGAAAAAAATTCATGATTATTAGGTAATAGGGCTGTAGAATCTCTTGCAATAAAAGTTTGATGTCGACTTTTGTTTCATTATGAATCACACGAAAAAAAAAACTATTGTCTCATCACTGTTTTATATTTCTTTGTCTTAAGTTTTTCTATTATTGAGAACTTCTAAAACTATTCTTAGCTTTAAAGTATTGACATTATATTCTTAATTGCTTTATTTCTTACCCTCATTAACCAATTATGCTGTAATGAATACGGACAGATGAATGGCAACTATAACACAAAATTGTATTCATCAAAGGCATGTCACTGAAAGAACGTCATAGATTTTGTTTTTCCTATAGAAAAGAAAACGATAACTACTTACGATCATAGGCATACCTTTATTTTATTTTGATGATTGCAGTCATATGATATATGACATGGTAATAAAAATGCATGTGCATTATATCAAACATGAAATATCTAAGTAAAAATTTATGGCAATAATCAAAAGAAAAAGTCAAGTACAGATTGATGTTTAATCTTTGTGAGAAAAGAATCGATATTGACAGTTGAATGAATAATAATATTTAATAGGCGCAACGGTTTTATTTCATTGTACGCAAGTGGAGACAGTCTAAGTTTATGACAAACTAAAGATTTCAAGTTGAGTCAGGTTTTAGTGAAATTTTTTTCCCAACGCTTGTCCTACTACAGTGAACAGTCTGATCATTTTTCGCATATCAATATAGCTAAAAGTCGAATCTACATATTGATATTTTTTTGTTTATTATTTTGCTTTTGTGTAAGTATTAGTCTAAAGCTAGGATATACTAGATGCTCAAAATGGCATGTAACACTTTCATAAACTTTGCGAATAATTATGTTATTCATTTTGATTTCATCGATTTTTTCAGTCACAGATGTGAGCTTCTCTTTTTGTTTTCTTCGCTAAAACGATTTTCATGAAGGAGTATGTCGATTTACGTCGTATTGAAACTATGCCATCTAAGTCAATTGTTAATTGCACACAAAATTGTTTATTATCCAATTTCTTGTTCTAATGTTTACATAGTAGAGATAAACAAGTAACATTGAGGATGAATAAAAGTTAGACTGTGAGAACAAAATCGAAATGAAGACCTTTATACACTCTCATCGATCAAACTATGCCAACATCCTATCGAAGACATGCAGTCACATATGCTTCTCATATACGTTCTTTATTGCTCATGCCTTTTAGTTAACGGATGATGCAAAAAATTCTGTAGTACTTTTGTTTTCAATATACCATGAGAACAATTCATTGTAGAGATTTGATAGTTTTCTTATTAGAATGAGCAAAGTCTTTACTACAAAGATTTTGGCTTAAAATATTTACTGAAGGCTGAAAAAGTTCTCTGCACGTTTCTCAAATTGTGAAGAAAACCTTCATTGACTAAGAAAGTTAGTCTTATTTTTACGTCTTCTATCGGGTTTTGTAGTACTAGGATAAGGCATTGTAAAGAGGTAAAAATAAAATTTTCAAGTATTCAGTTGAATTCGAAATTGACACTATTCCAATGATTTTCACAAGTGAAAATATCCAATTAGAGTTTAACAATCGCTCTACAAAAGCATATTCTATAAAACAAAATATTAGACATTATAAGAAAAACTTCATTGGACATTGAAGAGAGAAAATTAAGTTTTTCATAAAATTATTTTCTATGAAAACTACGGTTTTGTAACTCGAATATTTTGATATGGCTAGAAGGTCCACATTGCATTGTTTACACTCACACATAACCTGCCTCAAAATTTCGAAAGTCAAGTACATGACAATTCGATTAAAAAACACTTCTCATCACTGATTGTCTATCCAGTTGCAAGACATATTTCAATCAAACATATCCTTAAGACTTTTCAGCTATTATTAAGTATTCTAAACCAAAAGCTTTCTAGTAGATATTTCGCTCATTCTAATAAGAAAACTATCAAGTTTCTATAAGGAGTCATTGTCATACTATACTGCAAACAAAATTAATGCAGGATTTTTTGCATCATCCGTTACGTGTCGAAACATAATCCATCATTTCCCTAATTATGCCGCTAATATGCACTCGGACACCTTCTTTTTTACCTTGAATGCATCTACTACTTATATTGCTTCAGATTATTTTACCAGTACTATTTAGTGCAAATATAATCATGATAGCGAATCCGATTAATTGCATTTTATTCAGAAGTTATATTAAAATTTTCATAAAAATTATTTGATAAAATGTAGCTAAATGCTATTGTGTTTACAATATTCATGATTTTCTTTTATAATAAATAATGTCTTTTGATGAAATTCATATTGTCCTTATAAAGAGTGCACATATACATTGTTGAATAATTAGTTACTTAAATAACATGCCGATTATTTTTATTTCCTATAAATTAGAATCTATAATAATTATCATAATAAAATTTAAATGTATGTGACAAAAAAACAAAAAAAAAATTATTTTTTTTTTCGGTTTATATGATTTCATGAACTAATTATCATAAAAATACAATTTTCTTTCAATACAAAGTTACAATAGTTAAATATTATCTGATGAGTTTTACACAACGATTTGGAATATGTGTTTAATTGAGGTGAATAGATTATATAATGACAACAGATGATCAATATTGTAATACAGCTGCAGTTTTCTTTTTTTTCAACAAGAAATTTGTGATATTTTCAAACCCATTAAGATGCTCTTTAGCAACATACAATGTCAGGGCGCGTTTCTATAATAGAGAAAGTTGAGACATTTTAACATGATGCATTTTAAATGCAATAACAAGCATAAAAACATTATGAATTCACCCATAGAAGTTTTGATTTAAAAAAATGCACTTATCCTTATTTTTAGTTCCTATCATCTTTAGACATTAGAAAAAAAACAACATGCTACATTTTGAATGATGATAAATGCGTTTGCTTTTAAGTCATTGAAGTGTGCATAATGCAGAAAAATGGTTACATGAAAATAGAAATTTAATTGAATTTTATTAAATCTTCTTTATAAGATTTGAAGAACATATTCAAATAAATACAAATTTTATTATCTAATTTATCAATGTAATATCAAATGACAAATGAATATAATTGCTTGAAAAATCTTTATTTAAACAAATGATTTATTATATAAAATTTAGTAAAACTTTCAAATAATTAAACATTCTTCGATTAATTTTCTTGTCAATTCTATATATATATATAATGGCAGAGGAGTGTCTATGTAATACAAAATATTCTTTTGCAAGATCTTTTTCTTGTTTTAGTCTTCAAATACTCTTTCAGAAGAATTATTTAATTATATAAGAATAGAACAAAGAGAACGAAAGATAATAGAGACGCTATTAATTATTCAAAATAATATGACCAACATATTTCTATCGTATTGAATATTTTAAATGAATTTTATAAAAGTTTTTCAAAAATTAATTAGATTTATTTATTAAAAAATCTTTTCAATTGTTAGATATAGAATATTCTTTTTAAAATGATAGATGAATGGGAAACAGAGGTCTCGATGTGGGAGGAGCTGAATTGAACTAGCTCACCCCTGTATTTTTCATGCCGTATCTGCAAAAACTATGAGTTGATGTCAGAAAATTGTCTTCAGCTTTTCTCAGTCACTTTCTTCTAGACAGACTACCTCCGACTGTCTGTCAAATTTTTACCTCCTTGTACTTCTAAAGACTATCGAGAATCTAGATTGAAAAACATATCTTATAAAATGGTAAATACAAAAAATGCTTGTGGAAAAATAAATAAAAATAATTTTTAGTTGCTTGAATTAACAATATTTATCAAGATAGCAACAAATTAAATATGTAGAGAAACAAAAATAAATCATTATCCCGAATATAACAATCAATAAAAATCTATTACCATATGATCGATTGTTATGAATTCTACGCTTCTGTTATTCTATTTACATCATATAATAAAAGAGATGAAATGCTTTTATTCATTTTTATCTTTACTATTATTCTACAAAAAATTATTTTTAAACGTTTACTTTTTTTTTTTCTATTTAAAATCTTCAAAAACATTTAAATAAACATCTTTTACGATAAGTATTCTAGAGATGTATCAGAAGGATTATTTCGATCTTTAGTTTCTGTGTCTTGCATGTGACAAACAAGTCAAGGAGTGCTTCCGCATCATGCATAATAAGTAAGCGATGCAAAAGTCTTTGAAAAAAATGTCAAACTCTTTTACATCATATTGCCAACTTCTAAACCAATGAAATTGTTTTTTGTTTTATCGGAAAGAGTAACGCTTGAACTTCAAATTTTGTATCAGATATATTTTTCAAAAACAAATCTAAGAAGAAGGAAAAACCAAAAAACAAACGCTTCTAAAAAATTTCTATTTCTCAATTATTTTGAGCTACATGAGCTCAATTCTAATTTAAAATAATTCACCAAAATGTAGCGTATCACAACCTTAATCGATGTCAGCTTTGGTAAAATTTTTTAGATCTGTTCTTGACGGTTTAATCAAAAGAAAAAATTGGAAATTGAAAATTTTTATAAAAATAGAGTTTTGCATCTATAATCAGTTTGGAATGGCATCAAGTACAATCTCCAGAAACCTAAATTATTTGTGAGTTATTCGGTCGAAATATATCAGATCATAGAAATTTAGCAGAAAAAGAATAGTTCAAAAGATATTTTTTTATTATTGCAAAACGAAAGAACACTCTTTATACTACAAAAATCATCATTAAACGTGTTTTTTTCCGTTTCATTTCTGATCTAAAAGACTCAATGGAAAATAGAAACACAATGTTACGCGATGGTGAACTTGCAAGAGCTTTTTAAGAGGTGTTTGAGTGTTGGCGTTTCCTCTTTCTTAGATTCATTCTAGAAAACAAATGTCTAGTACAAAATTTGTAGTTCAGTTGTTATTCTTCTTAACAAAACAAAAATTTCATTGGTTTAGAAGTTGGCAATATCATTTAACAGAGTTTGACATTTTTCCAAAGGTTTTTGTACCGCTTATTATGAACGTACACCATAATTCTAATAAGTATTTTTAGCTTTTGACAACGTATGCTGTGTCATGAGCATTTGTTAATTCAGCTGAGAATGTAATTTTTTTTAATCAGAGAATCTCTTAATCCCAAACATCACAGCTTACGAAACATTAATCATACCAAACTTAGTTATGATTATAAAACAGATTTTTGCGTTCTTTTTTTTTTACTCGATCATTATTTCAAATTTGAAATAATGATCCAATATAATAACTTTTTAATTTCTGACTCATGCATCTTGCAAAACTGAAGTATGCGTGATTGAACTCATTTATTTGAGTTTTACTGGATGAGTACGTCTGAATAAGCCATTTGTTGTTGTAACTAGATCCTGTTTTTGAATGAATTGATGCATGGTTAAATAGGCATCATTTTTTTCCTTGACAAATTGCAACATGCAACCTTAGTATACTTCTTTCACCTTGTTTTATTGAACAAAAATTTACATTGGTAGAAGTTAAGAAGACACATATATATATATATATATATGAATATGTACTTTCAATTGTGGTCTTTATTAAGTCTAATGAAAAACATCAAAATATCTATGTCATTTGTAAGTATCATAAGAATGAAAAGAAAATTATTGTTTCATTGATTATTTTTCTATTTGCTACATGGTATTTCAATTTACGTCGTCTTTTTTTTGGGGTTTTAAATCTTTTTAATTAATGTTTTTATTTCATAAGAATATTCATTAATGTTATTAATACTGACAATTGTTTATTGTTAATCAGATGAAAACATGATTTGACATGATTTTAATTTAAAAAAAGAAGAAAATCTATTCACCTTTTTTTTTGAATCATATTTATCCTATATAAAAGATATTCTAAATCCGATATTATTCATTCTATGTTCATTTTATTATTGAAAAATGAAAATTGAAAGCAAAGCTTTTTATCTGGTCCAATGATTTAGTTGATTATTTATTATAGAAATTTTTTCTTTGTCTTCCTTTATCTTAAGAGAAATCTCACATCCGTTTTCTTCTCTCTCTCTCTCTCTCATCTTGTAAGTCTATTTTATATCTGATGATAAACATCCTTCTCATTTCTCGATTTTTTATTTCACAAGTGCAACTGCGTTTTTTTTCATGTGACGAGATAATTTTATCTATGAAAAAGATATTTGTTTTTTTAACTGCATAGACGATCAATATATTGTTATCTGTGATTTTTTTTTTTATAAATTCTAGAGGACAGAAATATTTATATAAGCTATTGTAATTACTTGATTTATTTATTTTTTTGGAAAAAATGTTAAAACAATTCGTTTTGTTCCTTTCGCTTATTCAACTGATGCAATGCCTTTCTTCACGAAGTAACAGTAAGTTCTCTTTTTTGTTTTTCTTTTTGATATTGAACTTGATACTATCAAGGGAATAGTTGTCAGTATTACTTTGACTTTCTTTATTAATATCATTATCTTAATGTAACTTTTAACATGCAAAAAGTTTTGGCTTTTTATTTTAATATTTAGTTTGGTGGAGTCGACGTAATGAAAATCCACTACCAGATTGTGACATCGCACTTGACAATGAAAATCCATCGATTGAAGCCAAAATTTGTGGTAAAAATTATTTATTTATTATAAATTGTTTTTGATTGATTTATATTATTTAAAATATTCTCTTAGGTTATTGTTTTGCTTCATGTCAACAGCAGTTTGCTACTTGTCTCTTAATACATATAAATAAAGCTGTAAACAATTCGATTGAATATTGCCAAGAAAAATCTGATAGATGTGGACACCGATGTCTTAATGACAAACGAACAAGTCGAATAGCTGCAGCGAACTGGGCTAAAGTTGTCAAAATATTGGAGCAATTCAATGCCTTATCACCGATCAAAGAAGAGTAAAAAAAAAAACAATTAATAGAAAAATAATTTCAGACTTTTAAATTTCAGTAACTTTCATTGATCGTGTGTGTAAAATTTTCTTTATTTCATGCATAAAATAATAAAGAGAACATGCATAAAGGAAAAAAAATGCAACCCAATATATAATAATTATTTAGCTTGAATAAGATAAAATCATAATACAAAGTATCGTCCTTTTTAACTATAAAGATACATATATAAACAAAAAACATCACAAAAGAGCATAGCAAACAATAAGAACGGATTAAAAATGATAATGAAAGATTTATTCATTCTATATAAAAATTTGTTATTTCATATTTGGTTTAACAAGAACTCTAGCATAAGTTTTTTCTGTTGCAATTTTTATAGCATTTTGTAAGTCTGATAAATCATATGTAGGTCCTACGACTTCTTCATATGGATATTTGTCAATTGTTTTTACAAGAAAATCAACAGCTTGATCAAGATGACGTGGAGCATAATTATGAATACCTTGAAAAAAAAAGAGGCTTAATTTTCAATTAATTTTCTTTTTTCTTTACCTTTTATCATAAGACATTTACGAATAATCTGTTCACCAGTTATATGTAGGTCAGAATGTGGATGAACCATACCAAGAAAAAGATATAATCCACCTGGTTTTAATAATTTAATACCATCATTAACAACATTTGATACTCCACAAACCTATCATGATATGTTTCTGTATTTTTTTATACTTTCTTTTGAAAGAAAAATAACACTTACTTCAACAACAACATCAATTTTATTTGTTTCTTCGATTAGTATTTCATCTAGGAAAAAAATATTCAATTAAAAATAGAAAAAAAGAAAAAGAAAACAAATCTTTTACAATTTACTCATTTTACAAATTGCATAAAAATCAATTACAAGATATACATATGACTACTGCATGCATAATCTAGTTAAATCTCTTTCAATGATTAAATTGGCAAACTTTTCTTCAAACAAGAAATCAATATATATGTATATATATATATGTGCAAAAAGAAGAAGAAGAAGACAACAAAACCAAGCAAAAATAGTAATAAATATATGGCAATATGTTTTTTTTTTGTATCGTACTTCGCCTGTCTAAAAGAAAAAAATTAAATTAATATTTTCATACGTGAACATTTGTTATAAGCAACCCCTCGAAATGATCTTTGGATTAAGAATATTTAAATCGTATGAATACGATACTGATGCCGATTCAAATAAAATATATAACATCGAGACTCACAGAGATTTTCGGATTGTCAAAATGAGCTATTTTCGACTCTTGTTTGATGAATATCTCATGAAAACATCATAGTATCGAGCTGAAAATTTTACCATAACTTCTCCGCTATAATCTGAACATATTCGAAAATTTTCATACGATTTGAATATTCCTAATCCAAAGATTACTTTGAAGAAGACTGAAGTATGATTTATAAAAATATGTTTTACCATTGTAAAGTGGTACTGCACCAAAACGAGTTATAAATTGTGACCGTTGAATATGATTACCTGAGCAATAGACTGTCTCATATCCAAGTTCATGAAGAACTACCGAAGTATATAAACCAAGCATTCCATCACCCTATGAAATAATATTAAAAAAAAAAGATTGATTACCAAAATCATGAAATCTTCTGCAAATAGAAGCGGATGTAGGTTTAAAAAACCGGCTAGATTGAGGAATTTCATTTTATAGATTATATGATTAGTTTTTTCAAGCATTTTATCAAAACATAAATATATTTAATTGATTTCTGATAAATCGAATTTTTGTGAAACATAATCTAAAAGGAGTGTTGAAATATAGGCGTAGAAATCTGAACCATCACCGACAAGTTAGTAATGCCCCTTTTTATCATCGTCTGAGATAGATTTAATTTATACTATATGCAGGTCTATCATGTTTCACATTTTAATCCTACATGGATTGCACTAATAGCTTTTTATACATGATCAAAGAAGCTTGATGACTTCAGACAATGGATTTTTTTAGGAATGGAATTTTCGATCATTGAAAACAAAATTAAGCAGAACAATTGAGAGAAATTGCTTAGATATGGAAGTTTAGATGCCCTTATCAAAATAATCAAACAATATTGTTCCAAAAATTATTTATTGTATTGTCTATACTCGTTCTTTTTTCGTTTAATCTAACTATATATCATTTCGTAAAAAGTATAAAGAAAACGAAGTTCCTTACTTGATTTATTGTATCAATAGTTTGTTAGAAATCATATTTAAGTTTGAATCATTGTTCAATGTGAATAACTAAGTTTGTCTATCAAGCATGGGTGATAAAAAACAAATATTCGTTATGGATCAACTTCAGCTCATAAATTTAGATCAAATGAATATATTATTGTTCTATTTGAAGAATAAAAAAAATTTGCGGACAGCTCATTTCCAGACATTACTTTTCCTTAGAGGAACTGTACAGACAGGTCAATTCCTTAGATTGAATATCATTACCGAACTGCCATATCTCTAATAATAAGACTCATATAATCAATCTTTTATGAAATACGATCTAAACAAGGAGTGTTGAAGTATACAAGGTTAAAATTTGCATATCTTCCTACAGATATTGACACATATTTTTGATATACAATCAAAGACCGCATATCAATAGTGTCTCATTATAATATATGAACTACATTCTTGTTGCATTTCTCGCAGTAGTGACAGTCAGGAGATTGTGGATGGTACGACAGTCGCCTAAGATCTTAGGGGTAATCCATGTAATATGGTGTCAATGATGGTAATTATTACATATTTCTTTGTTCCGGTAGTAGCGCAACACCTAGCTCACCTTTGTTTATGTCAGACTCTGAATGATTAAGTAAAAGGATAGTGATGAATTGTGTTCCAAAATAGATAAAATAAAATAATCTTCTTATAATAAGCAAGAACAATTACATATTTATTTCTCATTTTAATCCAACATGGATTACGCTGACAGCTTTTTTTAAAATATATATTATTTTCATTAAAAAAATCTACTAAAAGTAGAACTCATAGTAGAAGACAACTTATTCGTCCACTTTTTACCATTGTTTGTTTAGCACAGATATTCAAAAAGAAATAACATCAACTTATTTTTTTTTTTGATCAGATAGAAAAGAAAAGTTAATATATAAAGAAAGAGAGTTGGTATTGTTATGTGTTATTACTTCCGAATACTTCAGAAGTACATGTCTTTTTCTCTTGAAATTCTGTCACAATAAAAAACAAAATACTCAATTTTTCTCGCCTACTTTATAACACACAAGTCTACAGAGATCTATTCATAGTGAATATTCTTTACTAATCAGTTTTTCGAATTTCAACTGAATATTTATTCTCAATCTTAAATATCATCATATAGATATCTTTCATTAAACAAAAAAAAGAAATCAATATACCTGAACAAAAGCTCGTCCATTTTTAATCTTCGGTACAAATTCCATAGCACACATTACTGTTGCTAATGAACAATTAATTGGTGCTGCACATCGATCAGATATAATATTAGGTATTTTGACAACATGAGTACCACTTCGAATTATAATATGTGAAGCATAACAACCATTAAAACCTGAGCCATCACTTAATTTTGCATGACCATACTATATTAAATGAAAAAAAATGAGACAAATTTTAAATTCATATGAAAAAAAAGAACTTTTTGTTTTTTAGAACATACTTTAAATAATTTAGTACATTTTTGTGAAAGTCCTTTTAAACAAAATTCACATTTAGTACAAGAATCAGCAATTGAAAATGTTAAACGATCGCCTTTCATTAAATCACTTTCAGGTCGACGATGAGCAATAACTTCAACAACAGCTTCATGACCGAGAACACTTAAAAGAAAAGAAAGAGAACATTTGTTAAAAATAATTAATCTATTTCTTTTAAATTAATAAATTACCTTGGTGTTGGTTCTACACGTTGACCTGTAGTTGTATGTACATCACTCATACAAATCGATGCTAAACGAACCTTTACATAACATTAAAGAAACGAAAAAATAAATAAACTCTCGTATCTATGTACATATTGAATTACTTTAACAAGAATTTCTCCTGGTGCAAGTTCCGGTAATGGAACTGTTTCAGATGAAAACATTTTTTCGGAATTCAATCCATTAAAAACAATACGTTCACCTAACATCTGACTTGTATCTTGATCCCAACACGTCATGTCTCTCCTGAACAGTACAGATCCACACGGCAAATAGTATAGTGAGATAAGAGAAACAAAAGTGAGCTCAACATGATTGGTGTTTTCCGATTTTGAGAAGGGCCAAATATCACTTAGGTATCAGTAGATAGAGAAAATTTTTCTCTGTCATATGATAATTTTGGTTTTCTATAAAGAAGAGGCATTCAAAAGCTCCGCTAGGTGTCGTTAGTAATCTTTTTAACATGATTGGCTGAAAGCTTCTTGACGTTACTCATTCTACCCACACCCACACCCTCTTGTAGTTAATCAGAGAACGTATTAAATAATCAAACGATAGAGGTCATTATTTAAATTATTCTGATATATCAATGGTTTAGTTATGAACGAATCGAATTAATAGATTAGATTATGCGGTTATCCTTCAAATCATTTATATTGGCATTGGTTATGCTGATATAAATATAAATAAAATGACATATTTAAAAATTTACTTTCCAAATGGTTCTTTTCATACTTTACGATATACATCATCGACAACTATTGCTGTATGAAAATATATCAAAGAATGATGAGATTTGATTTTCTTTTTTTATTAAATTTTAATTTCTAGGATTTAATTCGTATAGCTTTAAAAGGTCGTCTTTCATCTTGTGATTTAGTTTATTTTTTGTCATTTGCTCTTCGTGTAACATATGTTGGACAAGAACAACAAATAGTTTTGTCATCATTAAATAAAAATAATATCGTGAATAAATGGGTTCATTCAAATATGACTATGGAAAAAGTACAGATATTGTATGGAATTGCTGATGAATTAAAGTAAATTAATTAATTACGTAGAGCATATCAAAAGTAGTAATAGTAACATTATAATATCTTATAAAAGGCTTGGGTGCTACTTTCTCTCTTTATATATACTAATAATTCAAATAATACTCTAAAAATCTATAGTAATGAATGGGCTAGAATAAATTGCAGTAAGTGTTTTGTTGCTTTTTTCGTTTATTTTTTGTCCAAGAAAAATATTTATTTATATATATCAAACGATAGAGAATTTCAAGCTCTACAAAATAATTTATTTATTTCAAAAGAAATAATCTCCTTCAATTTGTAACATCTGATAAATTCGGTTTATCCAATTAGCCACATTCTGATGTACAACTTCTATTGGAATCTTTTCTACATCTTGTTTAATATCATGAATTAATGTTTGTTTATCAATAATACGATTCCAGTTTATTTGTTGACAAAGTTCATTCCATACACAATAGTCCATAGGGTTAAGATCTGGACTATTTGATGGCCATCGTTTCTTACACCATAATTGTGTGTTTTTGGCAATATGAGATTTTGCACCGTCTTGTTGAAAGATGAATTCATTGCCTAACATTTTTTTACCATCTTTTAATACCGTAGGTAATATATCGGTCACTGTGACTCCTTGATCACAAACTCCTAACCAAACCATGACACCAGTCGAAAACTTTGTTTTACAATGTATACCACCTTTTTCGTCGGCTTCATCACGTGCACCAGCATAAATTCGTTCATTTTGTCTATTATACATGTCATTAAGATCAAAATGTTTTTCATCGAAAAATAAAATTTATTTTTTCATAGATTTTCGGATGTTTTTTCGAACCCAAATTCCAAACGATTTTCTTTTCATCTTATGTTTATTGGTAAGCTTTGGTACCACCTGCTTTACGTTAGCTTTATAACTCAAGTCGTCTTTAATTATACGACGAATCTTACTGCGTGGCACCTTCATTTTTTTTTGCTAAGCTCCTTACTGATATCAATTTCTTGTTTGATATTCTTTGCTTGACCTTTTGGAGTAGATATTTTGAACGAATCACTCTTGTGTGGCCTGGTGAGGGTTTTAATTCAATTGCACTAATAGCTTTAAATGATTTTAACCAGTAAAAGATTGTTCATCTTGAAACCAAACCACGTAAACTTTTATAACTTTCATTTCCACTATAGCTTTCGTTGTACAATCGCCGTATCAACTTTTGAATGTCGTTATTCTTCATTCAATAAATGAGCATTTTTCATGAATAGAAAGTAAATGAAAAAAGCAAAAACATTTAGTGCAATTTATTCTGGCTCACCCGCTGTTTCACTATTCTTCGGTTGGTATGCTAATATTAGAGTTCCAATCAAAGTTATTCACCTCTGATTCGAACTCTGTGGCGTCAAACTATTTGACTTCAGGAAACTTCAAAGACCTTTTATTGACTAGCACATACACTTCTGCTTGTACGCTTTGCTAATGAGAATGGCTTTCTGATGACTTATTTTTTCTTGAAACTTATTTATAAACCTATAAAGTAGTGCATTTTTATTCATTACTTAATATGTGAAGAATAAAATCGTTACTATATAAGAATAAAAATACCTTATGTAACACCAAAAGAAAAATTCTTCACAGTCATTCCTACTAAGCCAGAATCGAAGTCCTGCGCAGGGCTCTGCCTCTGATTTAGGTCGATTGGAAAAACTTTTAATTCTATATTAAAGTTTGCACTCCACTATATATTCCGGCGAGAATTATTCATGATGAACTATATTTTGTTTTCGGTGATCAGGCGCCACCGCGCAGAACAGTTGAAAAGTGATAATCATAGTTTCGTCAAACACAAGAAGAAATTGAAGACAAAGAGTGATCTATCAGATCTTTCATGATATAGAATTCTAGATCACTGTTTGCACTTTCAGTATATATATTATAATGCTACTGTTACTACTTTTGGTATACTCTAAGTATTTATTTAAATATTTAATAAAATTAAAAATTTAGATTTGAACTTCGTCTTCGATATTTTCCACCGTCAATTGATGAGTTTGTACATGATAAATCCACATTTGGATTTTTGTATGAACAAGTATATTTATTTATTTGTTTATTTTAATATTTTATATTTAAATTCTTTAGCTTCGTATTGATTATATGCGTTTAAAATCTGATTATATACCAGTGAATGATGCTATTGAATTAGGTTCACTTGAAATATATAAACTTTTTAAAGATCTTAATTCAACAACATTAGAGAAAAAAATTAATATGGATTATCTTGAAAATGAACTTGGTTTAAGAACATTTTTTCCACAATCACTTATTGATTCATATAAAGTTTGTTATCTTATATTTAAATAATAGATGTTTTTTTATCTAGATTTATTAATTAGTCTCGAAATCTTCGAAAATATATTAAAACATATTTAAAAAAATATGAAAGTTTAACTGAAGAAGAATGTATTAAACGATTTTGTTTTTTACTTAAAAATGTATGGAATTGGGAACAAGAAATATTTACATGTAATCTTGGTGTAAGTAAATATACAGTTTTCATCTTCAAAAACAGCGGTATTTTTTTTTCGGGGGGGGGGGGGGGGAAGTAGTTGAAAAACAAAAATCTATAATAGAATGATCTGGATGTAATATTCAAAATTTTCATTTACAGTTATGCATGAAAAGAATATAATTCTCATACTTTTATTAGATAAAGCAAACATTAATCATGAACTCGATTGAGAAAATATAATCAATGTATTTTAACAACACTGCAGCATTTCATATTCTACCTTGCTCCATAGATTAAGGTACAATAATATTGCCTTGTACCTAGCTGTAGAAAACATTTGCCTGAAGTTTGCCTAAAGCACAAATAAACAAATCGAAATTCTAGATAAAGAAAAGCTATTATTCGTATCCTCAAGGAGAGAATTGTGAATGTGCCCGTCACAATCCATGATCGGTTGAGAAAGTGTCTGTCACGAACTGTGAAGGGCGGAGGGAGTGGGCCCAAATTTCTACCACTACACTCTTTTGAATTAGATCGTGTTTCATAAAAGTAAGTAAGCTTTTCGATATGAAAGAACACACACAGCAAATGACTATAAAGAAAATTATAGTTGCTTTTCAATATACAAAATTTCTTTTCGCTTCAGGCTGAATGGTCAGTACCAATTAGTTTGGTTCTTGGTCCATTAGATGGTATCAGTTATCGAACACATAATTCAACTGAAGTAAGTTTATATATTATTTCTTGTGAATTGCATATATTCTAAAAATAGTTAACTAAAATGACAACATTTGAAAACGTTTTATCAATATCAACAACAAAAGGTAATTCAGATGATCGTGGTCTTCTAAAATTAATCATTGCTGGATCATCCGAAGTTAGAATTTTCTTTTAATCTTTTATACAAAAATAAATAAAATTATTGTTTAGGCTTTAATATTTAGTTTTCCATCGTTTTCTGAAGCTAATGATTTAGCTATTCTTATTGATAGTTATTGTATGCTTGTCAATAGAAGTACACATTCTCTTTGGCAATCAATTATTGATACACAAAATTCATTAATAACAAAAGCATCATCACCATTGAATTATTCAACTTCATACTCTTCAGATTTTATTTGTAGTCGTCATCAAAGTAAAAGATTTTTTTTTTTCTAAATTATTAATAATTAATATCATTTTCTTCTAGCTGATGATGATGATGATGATGATGATTATTATGATTTGAGTGGAGATTATGCAGATGTATTATCTTCTGATTATCAAATTGATCGTAAACAAATTCAATTAATTGAATTACTTGGTGATGGTCAATTTGGTGAAGTTTATCGAGGAATACTTAAAGTAAAGTTTTTTCTTATTCATATCCTCAATTATGATTTAGGTTTTTTTTATTCATATTAGACTGATCAACAATCAGAAATTAATGTTGCAATAAAAACATGTAAAATTCAAGATGTAACAACAACAGAAACATTTTTAGATGAAGCATGTAAGAAATTTTGTTTTTCAGTTACTGTAATATAAAGGATGATTCAAAAGTCACTTGATAGTCTTTATTTTGCAAATAAGCTTTGGTAAAAACAAGATAGAGAGCTGCAATTTTCACCGTTCAAAAGAGATCGTGTCAGATTGACTAATACCAGTTGATGATCGAATTGTCAGTCGGTGGTCTTAAGACATGTGCTAGATTCTCGTACTCACGATTCATATCCTCATCGTCTAATATTGCGCCTATAACTCGTAAACAGATCAATGTTTCAGATTTGGATGTGGATCTAGAGAATTTAGACATGAGCAGGATTAGTCATTTTTGGTCCTGGCATTCGAACTAACTTGTCCATATCTATTTAGAACGCATGAGTCATAACAATATGACATTTGATGCAAGTTTTACATGACCATAAAAGATATTTGTTTCCAATAAAAAAAAGTGTTAGTCCTAGTCCTGAGGTGTGAATTATCTTGTCCATATCGAAGCGCGTTTTTTTTTCTGGAATTAAACTTCTGTATCAACATCATCGAACTATCAATATTTTTGTGAAGCATACTGATTGAAAATTAGATCATCAACCGATATTTTTGAATTATGTAGTGGTACAGTTTCTTTCGAACGATAAAAACCACAGTTGTCTATCTTATTCCTATTAAAATTGACTCGTTAGCAAAAATTACCGGATGACTTTTGGATCATTCTGTATTAGTTTTGATTTGTTTTTTTTTTTGTAGATGTTATGCAAAAATTTTATCATCCACATATCATTAAATTAATTGGAGTTTGTACTGAACAACCTGTTTTACTTATTATGGAATTAGCACAATTAGGCGAAGTTATTCAAAGAAATTTTTTTTATTAAAATATCTCTTATCATTTTATTCATTTCTTTTTTTCTTTTAGTTACGTGCTTATTTAGTTGCTAATCGAAATAATTTTGATTTACTAACATTAGTGCTCTATTGTGAACAATTAGCTTCGGCATTAGCTTATCTTGAATCAAAAAAATTTGTTCATCGGTAAGAAAAAATTTTCAAAAAAAAAAGGAAATAATTTTATTTAATAGTGATATTGCTGCAAGAAATGCTCTTGTATCAAGTCATGAATCAGTAAAATTAGCTGATTTTGGTCTTTCAAGACAATTAACACTTGATCATTCATATTATAAAGGTGAGTCAAAAGAATAAAAAAAAAAGATAAAACTTTATTTTTTTTCATAGCATCAAAAGGTAAATTACCAATAAAATGGATGGCACCAGAATCAATAAATTTTCGTCGTTTTACTCATTTATCTGATGTATGGATGTTTGCTGTTTGTATATGGGAAATTTTAACAATGGGTAAAAAACCATTTCAAGGTATTCCTAATCCAGATGTTATTGATCAAATTGAAAATGGTATACGATTACCATTACCTCATATTAATTGTCCAAAATCTTTATATGATTTAATGCAAGAATGTTGGTCATATGAACCAACAAATCGACCAAATTTTATTCAAATTGAAACACGCTTAAAATTAATTTTAAATCAAGTTAAAACAAATATTCATTTAAAAGCTGAAAATATTTCTTTATCATCATCATCATCATCAGAAATACCATCATTAACAATATTATTACCAGCAGATTATGATGTATCATCTAATCCAGTTTTGCCTAGTAAAAATGGATCTATTGGTAGTCGATTACAAAGTTAGTTAACAAAAAAAAAAAAAGATCTTGTTCATCATATTTATTTCTATATTTAGTCAATAATAATCAT